GCTGTTTCAGATTACTCAGATTTCAATATCCTAGTTTTCTCTTCAGTTTGTAATTACCATTAGGTTTCTACCAACAACAAAAGTGTAGCCAATTATGCTACTAAGTGCTGTGTTTAAAAAAGAACCATTACAGATGGCAATCTACTCTGCAAATCTCTCCTATAAAAATAAAATAATTCGTTAAGTTGGTTTGCTGGTCAGACAAAAAATTAAAGCAAAGGGGTTTGGGGTTTGGTTCTCATTTAGCATTGGTCAGTTGCACACAAGAAAACTGGCAGGAGAAAATGCAGTACTTTCCATTTTGTGAAGGTTGCCAAATAGAGTCAATTTATTTCCAGAATAACCTTAAAAACGATCTAATTTTCAGGGGATATGGTTTTGCTGAAAAGTTTTTGGCCTTTAATTGGGGTCTTTCATTTAAATATAATTCTCATTTCATGTTTTTTTTTTTTGGAGACTATAGTCTTTTTAAAATTAACATATAGTTGACATACAATATTATATTAGTTTCAGGTGTACAACATAGTGATTCAACATTTATTTGCTTTACAACGTGATCACCATGAAAAGTCTAGTAACCATCTGTCACGGTACAAAGTTATTCTGATATTTTTTACTATATTCATTGTACTGTACACTTCCCCATGACTTGTATATTTTATAACTGGCAGTTTATACTTCATAATCCCCTTCTCCTTTTCCACTCACCTCCCATTTCCCTCCCCTCTGGTAACATCAATTTGTTCTCTGTCTCTATGAGTTTGTTTCTGTTTTATTTTGTTTGTTCCTTTGTTTTGTTTTATTACATATCTTGGCTATTGTAAATAATATTTCAGTGAACATGAGGTCCATTGCAGCATCTACACGAATAAAAGAGAAATATGCAAATTAGCTGTACCTTTGTGACACCCACCAGCCAATCAGGAGGGAATATGCAAATCAACCCAACAGAGATGGCAGGTTAATTAGCATATGCAGGTGCAGAGCTGCCGGGTGGGGCGGGATGCCTGCTATGAGGGGAAGGGGGGAGGGAGCTACAGAAGCGGCACTCTGGCTGGAGTGGAGAAAAAGGTTCCAGCCTGAGCGAAGACTCTGGCTGGAGCGAAGATGGAAGGTGGTGGCCAGAGCCAAGGCCTGGGTCCTGGGTGCTGGAGGAAAACCGGTGCCAGCAACCAGGGGAAAGAAGGCCTATTGCACGAATCTTCATGCAACGGGCCTCTAGTTATTTATAATAGTCCAGATTACAGTCTTTTTGATAGAGTAATGCAAATCTCAATTTCTATTGTAGACGAGCATATGAAGAATCATTGAGTTACTTATTTCTATAAAGGGTCTGACTCAGCAAATGAAAAATACAGCACAGACTTGTCATCTGCCTGCCCATTGAAAAAGCACTGTCCACAGCTCTAAAAATTTTCTTCCAGAAAACAATCCAAAATTGTTTTTTAAAAGATAGATTCCAAAAGGGGAAATGAACAAAATAAACTGTACGAGAGAGAGTATGTAGACTTGTAATGTGTGGCTCATGTAGGACCATATTTAAACAAAATCTTGTTGAAAGTTGTATGTGTGTGTAGGCATGCAACTACTTCAATTTTATGTGTCTATCAATTCACAGTCAGACAACACAGTGGGTCTCAGTGAAAATACCATTCACTGTTTACCAAACATAGCCTAATAAAACTATTCTTGAGGTAATAAATTTTTTTTCTCAGTATTGTTTTCAAGAATCTGTTACTGACTGATTGGATGTTTAGAATTTTAACAGTAATCTTAAACCAAATACATTTAAGTATTACTTATGTATCAATCTATACATTGAATTTAATAATTCACGTGATTTAAATTATTACATTTTTAAGCAATTCAAGTCATGCTCCTGGAGCATGAGCATCATATTCTGTGTGTGGTGATATTTACATTATTGTAGATGCTTCTAATCACTTATTCCATATCATGTGAAAGTTACATTTCAGATGGAGGTTTCCGGCAATAGTTTAAGAAAATCTGAAGTGAATACCAAGAGCATTATTTATTTTTCAAAAGCCAAACTGAAGTTTGTGGAGGAAAAATAAGTCAGCGTTTAATGGATGGCACAGAGAGTGGAAACATCTGACTGAACAGTAGGAAACTTTGTACTGTTTTGAATGCCTCACCACTACTCATGCCATCTGTCATGCATTTCTCATGAAATAAACAGTTTTCAGAAATGTTTTGTCCAGGAAAGAGGCACTTTACATTTTATTGATTTATTCATTCTATGTAAGCTTCATGTAATGATGTTTAAGAAAATTGCATATGAAGGAGATATTTTTATACTAATAGCTAGTGATTTTTTTTATTTGAAAGTATTTATGGAGGACATGAGATGTGGATACATATTATAATAGATGCATCAAATGGGAAATGTGGGGGGTGGTCTGAAAAGAAGTGCTGCCAAGAACAGACGTTGAATTTCCTGCCGTTTTTATTTCCCAAAATCTGAGTTGCTGATAGAAGGAAATGGGGGAAGGGAGAGGAAAGATGACTCTTCTCCAGGGGGTCCCTTTCATAAAATGTTTGAACTGTTGCCACAATCTGGCCATATTTTTATGCCAGAGGAAACATGACATTCTCTTCGTTATTTACAACTTTCATATTCCGTCTCAGTTGATTATCAAGTCTCTTCCCATTCCATATACTAAAATTAAGTTTTCTTAAATAATTATCATTTCCTTAAGAGTCCAGCATCATTTTTTAACACAGTCCAATGACACCTTTGACTTTAACCATTGGTGACTTGTGATAATGTTTTTAACATCACATCTATAGGATTTCTCCTATGCAATAATTTTCACCTTACTTGCCCACCTCCTGTTGCTTCTGAACTACAAATGCCATTTTTCCCATATCAAGGAGACAGATGTTTTGGCTCCAAATCTAGTCTCAGCTTCAATGTAGTTATATGTTCTTGAACAAGTTACTTAACCTCCTGTGTCTTCAATCATAAAAGGGCAATGGTGATGTGTGCTCCTCAGGGCAGTGAAGGTTGAATGGGATAGTGTATTTAGAACATCTGGTTCATATTAGGAAATAAATGGTTTTCCCTCCCTACACTAATTTTCTCTGTTACTTTAATCATTATTCCATCACTGTACTCGTCTTTCCCGTGATATCTTTCATTCATCTGCTTCTCCTGCTCCCCTGCGTTCATGGCGCCGCTGTTGTCCTTCTCGTGGATGGATGACAAGGCAGAGACACTGTGTGCTGAGAGCGTGTACGCCCCCATCTATTATGCTATGTTCAAAACAATTTTAAGACTCTACAATTTATACTTCATAGAGCATAAGAAGTAGCAGGAGTTCTCAAACTACCAGAGTGATTCTGGCCTTTACTCACGCTTCTTAAGTTTAATTCATCTTTTCATCTACATCCTTCATTGTCTTCTGAGGTCTCCGGACACATTTTGTTGCTTCATTCCTTTCTGTCTCTCATTGTAATGTCATTGTTACTTTGCTTTCTATTAACACTTCTTACTCCCTTTTGGCTATCCTCTAATTGGATATCCATTTGAGATTAAAGAGAGATTTTATGTAAATCCAGTAGGCCTAGCATTTCCTAATTTAGTTGCCCTGTACTGGCCTTAACACTAATTATTGGCCTTGCTGTTTACTCCAATCTGTTCTCAGCACTATTTCCACACGTCTCTTAGCCCAATCCGCATTCTCACATGTGGCAGTGTCACATTATGGTTCCTCTTTATCTAAAATGTCTTTTGTAACCACGTGTGTTTTTTTTCTTTCACTTTTTCAGGCACTAAAAAAATCCCAAATTCCACTTATTTTCCATTTAATTTGCTATGACATTGCATTAGTAAGGGTTCTCCAGAAAAGCAGAATCAATATGATGTATATAGATATACCTAGGAGGAGGTTTAGTGTAGGAATTGTGTCATGCAGGTATGGAGGCCGAGAATTCCCCTAATCTGCTATCTGCAAACTGGAGAACAAGAAAGCTGGTGGTATAATTCAGTCCCGGTCGGAAGAGGAAAAGTGTGGAAACTAAACCAGGGTCACCACGGCTCATCCTATGTTGATGTTGTCAGTGAGTCTGCAAAGGAAGACTTTCTATCACCAGCAGATACAAACTAAAAGAAAAGTAACAAGGTATTCTGAAATATGATTTATCTATTGACAATAATGAGTTATTATTTTTGATGCTTTTCTTCCATCTTCTGGCCTGTTCGCATAGACACTTGAAAAAGTTAGGTATCTTAGTTCCTTAACTTTCAAATGCTGGATGACACCTTCAAGAATCCATGCAACAAGTATTCAATGTTCAGTGGAAGCATGCAAATCTAGGAGTCCAGCTGCAGCCCAGTCTCTCTCTCTCTCTCTCTCTCTCTCTCTCTCTCTCTCTCTCTCTCTCTATATATATATATATATATATATATATATATATATATATATATATATATATATATATATGACGCTGTGGCTAAAATAGAGTTCCACATTCTTTACCTCACTTCCCCCACTTCCTGTCCAACAACTGTACCCACCCCTGCCACTCTCAATGTACTAGCATCTCTGGCTTCTTATCTTTTACTGTATCTACAGGCTCATGACATATCTCTTGCCTTCTGGTTTGATAAACTATAAAGGATAGCAAAAGTATTTGATTTATTTTACTGGACGAAGGACCTTTTTTTATTGATTAAGGTATTACATATGTGTCCTTATCTCTCCATTGCTCCCCCTACCCCCCTCACCCCCCTGGTGTCTGTGTCCATTGGTTAGGCTTGTATGCATGCATACAAGTCCTTTGGTTGATCTCTCCCCCTTACCCCCACCCTCCCCTGCCTTCCCTCTGAGGTTTGATGGTCTGATCGATGCTTCTCTGTCTCTGGATCTGTTTTTGTTCATCAGCTTTTGTTGTTCATTATATTCCACAAATGAGTGAGATCATGTGATATTTATCTTTCTCTGACTGGCTTATTTCGCTTAGCATAATGTTCTCCAGTTCCATCCATGCTGTTGCAAATGGTAAGAATTCCTTCTTTTTTACTGCAGCGTAGTATTCCATTGTGTAAGAGTTATTCTGGGCCCTATTGCCTCCCTGATTCTGATCCCAGAAGGACCAGTGTTGGCTATTATCTTGAATGCTTATACCCCTGTGGAAATAAAAATAGTGAGATACTTGAATTTTTGTCAATGTCACTACTCTACAATTGAAAGCATGCCATTATTGAGCCCACCTTATTTTACAGGAGAGATGTTCTCCTCTATGGTTTTTGCTGCAACTTAAAAATGGTATGATCTTCTAGACCAGTCACCTCTGTCCTGTCTTCTTTTTGTAATAACTATTTTGTAATGCCATCTTATGATTCCAAAATAAAAGTCATTAAAGTAAAAGTTATTAACCTGCACATGGTTTCAAAAAAATCAATATAAGATGTAAATGAATATAAAAGAGAAATAAGAAGAAAATAATTTATGATAGATTAGTAGGCATCTTATTATGTAAATGGTTAGGAATGGGTCATCTAGAAAACAGAATGGGTACACTTGTGCACCAAACCAACTTGTGACAACTACAAAAACAGGTGGTTAGAGGTGTGTTTTACTTGGAGATTCAATGGAATACATAAATGGTGCTATTGTCAGGATGTGATTTTTTTTAAAAAGTGGCAGAGTCCAAATAAAACAGTATAATCTGCCCTAACTGATGTGGCTCAGTGGATAGAGCGTTGGCCTGTGGACTGAAGGGTCCTAGGTTCGATTCTGGTCAAGGGCATGTACCTTGGTTGCGGGCACATCCCTGGTAGGGGGTGTGCAGGAGGCAGCTGATCAATGTTTCTCTCTCATTGATGTTTCTAACTCTCTATCCCTCTCCCTTCCTCTCTGTAAAAAATCAATAAAAAATATTTAAACAAAAACAGTATAATCTTTCCTCTGGGAAATGTAGTGTTGCTATATAACATTCAATTAATTCTAGGCTCAGGTAATTTAAACAGGTTTTTAACTTATAAGAATATCTTGTGGCACATTAAAAAGTTATGTGGGTGTGAGATAATTATTTATTGCCAGGACTATCTCATCTATTCTAAGACATCTGGCATTCCTGGATCCAGCTTATAGATCTACTCAAAACCAGTAGCTTCTTTATCATAGTGACAACCAAAGAATGTTCCTCCCTCCATTTGTAAAATGCCACCAAGAGGATGGTAGAGTACCTGTCGAGAACCACTGCTCTAAAAGAGCCATCAGCCAGGGAATGTGGACAGGGAGAAAGAAGAAATGGCAGAGGTGTGGGCGGTTGTAAAATGATGTTACATACCTCCTATCCTGCAATAGCTGTGAAGGAATTTTGCATGTTCTTTAATGTCACTTCAAAATTGACCTTTGAGGTAGGCAACCTAGAGAGGTTAAATAATGAGGCAAGGTCACACAGCTGGGAAGTAAAGATCTGGGCAGAGCTGATTCCATAGCTGGCAGCATTCTTGGCTTTCTGGCTGTACAGAAGACTAAGAAATGGTCCGTATCACACACAAAGCGGGAGAGGCCCCTTCATGGAAATTTCAGGGGGGTTCCCAGCTGGGCTATGGCAGATGCATGAAACCCCAAGCCAGGCAGGGAATGTCAATCAAGTTATTCACAAGCTCTAGCTGAGCGAGGTCCTGTCCACCGCTGTGCAGCAAAGTCTAAATCTTGGCCCAAGACCCAGCCCTGGAACAATGCCGCTCTCTGTGGGATTTTTCTTTTTCTCTTAAAAAAAACCAACTTCATTGTTTTCTCCTTTATAATAGAAATAATGGATGCCCATTATATAATGTTCCCGACCATGCAGAAATGTTTAAAACAGGAAGTGAAAATTTTATAATTCCATCCCTCAAAGATCATTGTTGCTAACCAATTGGTATATATTTATTGGGATTTTTCTCCTGAGCATATAAAACTAGTTATTTTAAATGTATACTATATAGATTGTTTTTAACTTATTATTCTTATTTAATAATTTTTGTGACTTTATACCCTTGTCTATATACAGAAAATGATCTCTTGTCTTTATTTTTAATGGTAGATTAAATAGAATTGTTTGACTACTCTTGCACTAGGCTTATAAGAGAACTTTGCCTAAAGGAAATAGGCCACAAAAGGTAATTTTTTTTATACCTCTGCTATCATAATGCTATAATGAGCATCATTGGGCATATATCTTTGTCAAAGGTATAAATTCTTCATAGGATAAATTCCTAGAAATTGAATTGTTAAATTGCCCTCTAAAAGGCTTCACCAATTTACAATTATACCAATGACCCATGAAAACCTCAATTCACAGCACCCCAACAAACTCTAGCTGTTAACAAATTTTTCAACTTATTTTTTTAACTTATTTTTTAATTTTATTTTCATGTCAAATTTTTTTAATTTTATTTTTCAATTGCAATTTACATTTAATATTATTTTACATTAGTTTCAGGCATACAGCACAGTGGTTAGATAATCATATACTTTAAAAAGTGATCCCCCTGATATTTCCAGTACCCATCTGGCACCAAAACAATGCACATTTCTTATTTTTAAAATACATTTATATGTATATAAAAAAGAAATAATCTTTTGAAATCAGACCTTTCAAAAATTTCCGTTGAAATATGTCCCACTGTGCTTGGCTGGCATGGCTCAGTGGTTGGGCTTCGACCTATAAACCAGGAAGTCACAGTTCCATTACCTGTCAGGGCACATGCCCGGGTTGGGGGCTCAATCCCCAGTGTGGGGCATGCAGGAGGCAGCCAATCAGTGATTCTCTCTCATCATTGATGTTTCTATCTCTCTCTCCCTCTCCCTTCCTCTCTGAAATATATAAATATATAAAATAAATATGTCCCAGTGCAGACCTGTGAATGTGACCTACTTAAAAAATGCGTCAGTGTCAGTACCCATATTAGTCAGGGTTCCCCACAGAAACAGAACTGAACGCCTGAGAACCAGCAGAGCAGTTGGTGAGGGTGACCTTCTCTGCTCAGTCTACTAACATAAATGCTCATTCTTCCAGAGACACCTCACAGACACATTCAGAAATGTTTTACCAGCTATCTGGGCATCCTTAGTCCAGTCCAGCTGACACATAAATTAACCATCACAGTACTTTGTTCCTTTCTATGGTTGTATCGTTACTTTATTCCCTTTTATGGTTCAATAGTTGCTTATTGTATGGATACACCAGATTTGTTTATTTATCAATAGGTGGATATTCAGGTTGTTTCAACTCTTTGGTTATTGCGAATAATGCTGCTGTAAACATGCATATACATTTTTGTATAAACATGTGTTTTCATTCTTTTGAGTATATAACTAAAGTGGAATGGCTGGATCATGTGATAATTTAATTTTTAATTTTTGAGGAATTGCCATTGTTTTTCACAGTGACTGCACCATTTAACCGTCTCCCCAACAACACACGAGGATTCTAATTTCTCCACATCCTCATACTTTTTATGTTCTTTCTTTTTCCATTACTATAGTCAGCCTACTGGGTATGAAGTGGTATCTCATTGAGGTTCTGTATTTTCTTAATGACTGATTTTGAACCCATAATCACTGTTAATGTTTGTGAACATTCCATTGTATGTATGTACCAGGATTTATTTCAAAATTTAAGTAATTTCCTACTGATAGGCATGTACATTTTCCCCAAATTTTTGCAATTATAAGCAATTTTGCAATGTATCTATCTACTTTGCCTAATAAATACAGTTTTTTAGTGTAAAGTACTAGGATTAAGATTGATAGTGAAAGACTCACCCATTTTACATTTTAACACATATTTCTGGTGGTGTTTGTTTCTCCCCACGATGGTTAACAATATCAAAACTAAGCCAGTATGTATGAACCTAGGTGCACAAGATATGTCATATTTCCTTAATTACTTAAACTTAAATTGGACCTAGTGGTCTATCCTGATGTCATAGGAGAAGGGATTCACTTACAGCCCTAATTGAGGATCTCTCCCAAACCTGCCCTTCCCCCCCACCCCCAAGGTCATATAAAGTCCCTGGGGATTCTTAAACTGTTGCAGTGCAGCGGAGAGCTCCCTCTAGCCTCCATCCACAGGGCTACCACAGAGATGCTTATTCTCCAAAGCCTTCAGTCCCTTGGTATCTGATGATTCTGCAGTTTCCACATCATACCTGGGGACTTTTAAAAAGTTGTAACCTGGCTCTGGTGTCCAGACTCCCAGGGTGCTACCTCTAGTAGGGCTCATGCTGCCCTCAGGATGCTTTGACCCTCTGCCTTCTTCCTTTTCCCTGTAAATCAGTCTCCTCCTCTATCTCTGTTTCTCTCTCTCTTTCCACCTTCTTCCCACCTCTCTATGAAGCCAGACACAGTAACATCCATAAATTCAGTTGTAGACAAATGACAGGAGAGCCAGGATTTTGCCTGCAAATTCTGGAAAAATCAATGAGATAAGAAATCAGAAAGGCTGGAGTGTGGGTAGAACATGCTTACAGGGAGAACACACACATATTAGTTGCTCTAATTATTCTGCTTCATTATATATGTTCATCATTTTTATCTGTTAATCTGACACACAAAATTTATTTCTTCTTTGCTCATATTTATATCAATGTCTTTTACATTGATAATAAATCTTTTTCATTTTTGTGAATCGAATTGGTATTAGATTATAAGTCACCTTGTTTTATTTCCTATGTATTTTATTTAGTGATATTGGTCAATTTTACCAATGTTCGCTGCTCATTTATGATTTCATTCTGCAAATTGCCTCTGTTTTCTTTGTCCATTTCCTAATGAGTGTTTGACTTTTTCTTATTGATGTGTATGCACTCTTTATAACAAAGATGTTCAACTCTTCAAATTTATTGCAAGTATTTTCTCTTAGTCTGTCATTTGCCGGTCAAATTTCCTGTGGTTTTTAAGTTTCCAGTTTTATGTAACCAACTGTCAATATTTCTGTATGTAGATTTTGGACTTTTTACTGACGGCCACAATAGACATTTTCCAGACCAAGATATAATGTCTTATATTTTGTTTTAGTGCTACCATATTTTACTGTTGACATTCTTCATTTGCATATTTAACCACCTGGATTGTATGTGCATAGTACGAAGAAAGAATATAATTTTTTTTTAATTTTGGCCATAAAAATTTAACAAAACTCTTTATTGATTAATTTGTCAGTCACTGATTTGAATTGATTCCTTTTCCCCCATTACATTTTCTAATTAGTTCTGCTGATAATTAATTCTATGTATTTCCATTATTTCTAGCCACCTTACTGAACTTTAATTTTAATATCTCCATGTAAGAGAGTTAGGTTTAATTAATTCTATGTATTTCCATTATTTCTAGCCACCTTACTGAACTTTAATTTTAATATCTCCATGTAAGAGAGTTAGGTTTAGTCCTCATATAAACTTCAATGAAGTTGTACAGTTTTCTTCATATGGGTTTTATATATTTATTGTTAAATTTAGTTCTTATTGTTGGAAATAGAGTTGATATGTGAGTGTGGTTTCTTTTTCTTATCGCATAAGTAGGACATCTTGAATAATACTATATAATAAAAGAGAAACATGGTAATTGGTGTACGACCGCTACCCTTCCCATTGGCTAATCAGGGCGATATGCAAATTAACTGCCAGCCAAGATGGCGGCAGGCAGCCAGGCAGCTTAAACTGAACATGAGGCTTGCTTGCTTCAGTGACGAAGGACTCCAACGTTCCCCGCCTGCCTTGCAGGCCTCTGAGCCTGCAGTTTGAAACATAGTAACAAATATAGAAGCTAAACAAAACCCCAGAAACCAGCTTTCAGCGAGCTGGGATCTCAGAGCTGGAGTTGATACATTGTTTCGATTATAGAACTTAAACAAACCAGATACCTGCTATCAGCAGCTGAGGCCTTAGAGCTGGAGCCAGGCTAAAGCTGGCCCAGAATAAAAAAAAAAAAAGACAAAAAGGAGCAGTTGGGAGCTTCAGTCCAGTATTGGGAGCTTCAGTCCCAGCCTGAAAACAGCCCTCAGCCCCTCACCCAGACTGGCCAGGCACCCCAGTGGGGACCCCCACCCTCAAGGGTGTGTGACCAGCTGCAAACAGCCATCATCCCCTCACCCAGGCTGGCCAGGCACCCCAGTGGGGACCCCCACCCTCAAGGGTGTGTGACCAGCTGCAAACAGCCATCATCCCCTCATCCAGGCTGGCCAGGCACCCCAGTGGGGACCCCCACCCTGATCCAGGACACCCTCTAGGGCAAACCAGCCAGCCCCCACCCATGCACCAGGCCTCTATTGTATATAGTAAAAGGGTAATATGCCTCCCAGCACTGGGGTCAGCGGAGCCGCGAGGCCTCCCAGCACCGGGATCAGCATGACAGGGGCAGCACCCAACCCCCCTGATTGC